TCCACATCCCCTGTGCCAGCTAGCTCAGCTGTCTCTGCACATGCCTCCTTATGGTGTGCTGGGGGGAATGGTCTAATTTGCTACAGCTGGTCCCAACCTTGCTTTGTGGATGGGATCCCAAACACAATCTCCACACTGAGGGTATGCAGCTGTGTTGTTTCCTTTGCTTAAGGAGACCAGTTAACTCCTTCTCTGCTCACTCCTGGCTAGGCCCTCTGCACTTCTTCTAATACCCTTCTCCATTGGGTGATTGGCAATAGGTGCCTTCTAATTCCTTTCTCTGACATGTACTCTCCTGTGAATCCCAGATGTTTTCAGCAAATGCTGATGTTATCATTGCAGCTGATGCTGTCTTGGCTATGAGTGTAGCTTGTGTTTCTCCCTTTAGCAGTCCTGTACCATCATTATCCTTCCCCTGGAAACCAATTTATTTTGTAACGCACATATCTTGCTAGTGTCCAGAATATCCAAAGAACCTGACTTGTTGTTCTCTGAGTCTGTTAAAAGTGGAAAGACAAGCATGTTAGCAACTTCAGACAGGTAGAGAGGCAACCCTCTGCAATTCTGAGTAATCTAGCTGGGTCAAGTTTATTTGTGCATTCAAGGTCAGATTTTTTTCATCCCATTTACAGTCATGTACATCAGGAGTGACTCTTCTGAAGTCAGTGGAACAGAACTGAAATAAAATCAGAGCAAGGGATAGGACACTCTGCCCCTGCCCCTCCATGCTCACATCCCAGGCCTGGGCCCTGCCAGGCAGATGCATTCCAGCTGAGGATGCCCTTCCTGGTGGCATTTCCACATGTGCTTTATTTCCTTCCAGTGCCAGGAAAGAGTTTCCGAGAGGAACAGTGCGAGGCCTTCAATGGCTACAGCCACAGCACCAACCGGCTCACTGCCTCCGTCTCATGGGTCCCTAAGTACTCAGGAGTTTCGCCTCGAGACAAATGCAAGCTCATATGCAGGGCTAACGGCACAGGTTACTTCTATGTGTTGGCTCCTAAGGTGAGGAGGGGGAGAGCAACTGTATGAGCCATTGGGCTTGAGGGGAAGGGAAACAGGAGGCTGCTGTAAATGACCGTGTAAGGAGACTGATGGTTAACTGTGTTTAATGAGTAAGGAGAACACAAGCATCACTGGAAATGAATGAGCAGGAAGGCTTTATACTTAGATGGAGTAATCGGGTAACTGGCCTTTGGGACATTCTGCCTTAGAGGCCACAGGTACAGCTCTGTGCTACTGGGATTCAAGAACGAACAGACAGTTAATCTGGGGAAGTAGCGCTACTGCAAGGCACTGAGGGGTTGCAAGCCAGAGTCTATGCTGGAGCTGAATTCGGTGGAACTGCCAATTTACACCAGTCTTGGCTCTGGCCCAGGTTTGCAACGCATGTGAGATTGCTCTTGCTCTGGTGCCCTAGGTGTGCAAAAGGCAAGGAGGCAGCTTTTCATGGGAGCTCAAGCTCACACGCACAGGACTGGGCTGTCTGTCTGAATTGGGATGGGGAATACAGTGACACCAGAGGGTCAACTGGCTCTCTAAACCTGTTCATTTGCAGTGTCCAAGTGTCAGGATTGCTGATTAGGTAGGGAGAGAAGTTGTTCATAGATGTGGTATAAAAGTCATGATTCTGGGTTGTGCCTCTGGGCAGGTGCCAAGACAGCCCCAACATGGGGTGGGGACACAGGTGGCTTTATGCCTATTAATGCCTTCTCTGTACCAGGTTGGTCTAGAGGCAGGCATAACTTAGAGCAGCTCTGGGATTGGTGTACCCCAGCACCCAAAGGTTCCTCCTTGGATGCTGGTGGTACATGCACAGGTGGGATGTGGGGCACTCTTATGTACCTGGGAACCAAATGCCTTGACTGCTAAGACCTCCTCTCCCCCTTGGTGACCTGCAGGTGGTAGATGGGACCCCATGTGCACCCGACTCCACCTCTGTCTGCGTCCAGGGCAAATGCATCAAAGCGGGATGTGACGGGAAGCTGGGCTCCAAGAAGAAGTTTGACAAATGCAGCGTGTGTGGAGGAGACAACAAGAGCTGCAAGAAGGTTTCGGGGTTGTTCACAAAGCCCATGTGAGTGTCTGATAGTCCTGTTTCCCCAACCCCCAGGCTTGTCTTTTAACATGTTTCAGAAAATGTAGGGAAAGGGGGGGACCATTCGCCTCAGTTCATAAGTAGCTGTTAGTGCTGGGTCTTCAGATCCAAGGTCCCAGGGTCTAGTCTAGCTGACTTAAATCTAGTCTTTTGTGGGGAGGGTGAGACCTCTACACTGCAGAATCTTGTCAGCATTTAATCTCAAATGAAGGTGCTGGATGACTTGGACTGATGTGGGAGTAGTCACCCTATCACTTGCAGGTCTCTGCACCATACTCGGATGCAGCAGGAAGGTTTTACTGTAGCTTTCTAATGGAGCTGTGGGGAGCACTTCAGTCTGCATTTGGCTTGGAGCTTCATCCCCTTGATGAACAAATAACTGTTCCCAGCAGTACTGGTGTGGTGCTAACACCCTCTTTCTCTGTCTTACAGGCACGGCTACAACTTTGTGGTGGTCATTCCAGCAGGAGCCTCCAGCATTGACATCAGGCAGCGAGGCTACAAGGGACTGATTAATGATGATAACTACCTAGCTCTGAAGAATGGGCAAGGCAAGTATCTGCTCAATGGGCACTTCATTGTCTCGGCTGTGGAGAGGGACCTGATGGTGAAGGGCAGCGTGCTGCGGTACAGTGGGACAGGCACGGCAGTGGAAAGCCTTCAGTCCTTTAAGCCTATCCAGGAGCCTCTGACTCTGGAGGTGCTGTCAGTTGGGAAAATGACTCCCCCCCGGGTGCGTTACTCCTTCTACTTGCCCAGGGAGAGAAAAGATGACAAGTCCTCATACAAGAGTGATGGGAAGAGCCTGCCTGACCTCACCAACAGTGTCCTAAGCCTATCCAACCGCCTGGACGTGGGCAGGCCGAGTTACAAACGCCCATCCTACAAGTGGGCAGCTGGAGGCTGGGAGGCCTGTTCTGTCACCTGTGGCAATGGGCTGCAGAAGCGCTCTGTGGACTGCCGTGACTCCTACGGCCACCTGGCCTCTGAGTGCGATGCCACCCAGCGGCCTGTTGACATCAGGATATGCGGAGACCCCTGCCCCGCATGGGAGGCAGGTCCTTGGTCCCCTTGCTCCAAAACCTGTGGCAGAGGCTTCAAGAGGCGCATGTTGAAGTGCACAGCCCAGGCAGGGCAGCTGTTGTCTCGGGATCGCTGCAATCTCAGGAAGAAACCTCAGGAGCTAGACTTCTGTACCCTGAGGCCCTGCTGACCAGGCTGGTGGCACTTCCGAAGGAGGCATGGTGTCTCTCTGGCTGGAGATGTGTGGCTGAAGGTTGAACAACAGCTGGGGGAAGGGAGAGGGGGAGCCATCTGAGGCGAGGGGTCTGCTACATAGCACATACCAACAGACAAAGGATTTGTATGTGGGGAGAGAGCACGCATGAGCGAGGGGCTCAGCGTGGTTTTGTGAAACAGGTCACTCGGAGATGGAGTAGGATAAACATCTACCTCGAAGCTGGCAGACTACCCAGACTCCACCACCCTCCACCAGATGCTGTAGGCACGAGGAGAAAGGATGAAAGGCAGGGCAAGTCTCCAGGGATGCTGTCTGGGACTGAACCAAGGACAACAGAGGGTGCTCTTATATTGCCATGGCCCAACCTCCCTCTGCTCTTCCAAGGGTCGCCCCTACCCCCCAACTCCCAGAGCACTAGTACTAGACAGGACCAAGTGGAATTACCATTGCAATGCTGACAAATGATAGCGCTTAATGACCAGTGCAGTGAAACACTGGGGTGTCTCATGAATCGATGCCTTCAGGGCTTGCTAGCAGTGACTGCAGCCTGGACATGCTGCTGCCCTCCAGACACTTGCAGCGATGTTTTCATGCAGGGCTGTAAGTCCTTTTTTATTGTTCATGTTTATGGATCGAACAAAGTAGATTCTTATGGTGCTTAACTCCATATTCTTACTCTCCTTCCTCTCAGTCGGTGTGAACCATGTGTAGCTGAGGCAGTTTTGTCATTTCCATTGATTCCTTTTCTAAGACTATGACTTTCTATGGTGCTTCAGGAAGGGTGCGTTGGGGGTGACGCATCTTCAATATAAAACAGGCATGAATTTTAAAAAAAACCTCTTCTGGCCACATGCTCACTTACACTCTGGTCTTGTAAATGGGCATGAATTGGATTGGCAAGGTCCCATTCTGCTGCAAGGGCAGGTCAAATGGATCTCTGCATAGATGAGAATCGGGCCTTGGCTCCAGGAGGCAGTGCTCCGTCGTACTGTTGTGCCCCTCCATAGCACTTCCTCACCTGAGAATCGGCAGCACTGCCAATGGCACATAACTAGTAGGATTGGCAGATGCTGAGTCAGTTTTCACAGTGGTGCTCCCTGCCATGTGGTGCCCAGGACTAGCCCGCACCCTCTTCCGCTAGAACACTTTTTCCAGGGTTAAAAAAAAAAAAAAAAAAAAAAAAAAAC